CATGAAGGAGGGAATTAGCTATAGAGACTAAAACAGTATTTTGTACCAGGCTGTAAACATGTTTACTTCTGCTGTAAAGTTGGACATTTTAACATGAGAGTGAATGGGGACTGACTCGCTTTTGGAGCCAGACTCTAGTGGTCATTAGAGGAACAGCAGTTTTTGGTACTTCAGTGTTGGCTTCATTTTTCAACCCTGGACGTTCCCCCCTGTGCTGAACTCACAGCATTTCTTGTAGGCTGGTAAGTAAACAGCTGTTAATGCTCACGTTGGCTTTGTAGAAATAGCAAAACTTACAAATAGCTCATTAATAGAAAAGTAGTAAAACCATGACCACAGCTTTAACCTAACCTTACCTAAAATCATTTAATCAGGGTGTAAACTGTGTAAATTATCACAGCAGCATTTTGGCTGTTATTAAACAAAAAGTAAAAACTTTCAAGATGGATATGAAAAGTATGGCGATCACTTTCTTTGGATTGTGATATAAAGATTTGGGGCTTTGGTAGAATATGTACAAACTAGAGTTAATGAACTAATTAACTAGAGTTAACTGTAATAATGTACTGTAATCTAAAACACGTACATCAAAAAGAATTATGAATTTTGCACTGGAACTTCTGACACTGAGAAATATTGATGCACCTATAAAATAAATTACAGATTATTATGATAAATGCCTCACTTCATTGTCATTTTAAGATTCTTAAAGAACAAGGATTAGGATTATAACATCTTTTCTAATTGCTAACAAATCCATTGAAAAGACCAAAGTCAGCACTGTGTCAGTTAGTTCTCTACCCTGCTTGTTACACACAGCATCAATCCCATATATATTTCATATATATTTTAATTTTTTGAAAGTCTCAGTGATTTCTTAAATCAACACAGCACTGTAGTTTTTAAAAAATGGGACTCAAAGAGGAATAAATATTGCATTTGTTGAGGTCTATTTTCAGTTGCGGATTGATATACATCTGGTTCACTATAGAGTATTTCCAGCAGCACAATTGTTTATGTGGGATTGACACAAAATAAATTACAGTGAACATGTTCATTGTAATGAAGGAACACGTCACTCACTGTAACAGTGTGGCTCACTGGTGTGTTTTTAATACATTTAGTACAACAATTGAGCTCTATAACACCGGGAAATAAGATATATGAGGCTTTGGCAACACAGATGATACTTATTAGTAAGAACACACTGTGGGCGTTGGTCTTTTCATTGTATATATTGACCGATTTTACCAGACTTTAAAATCACATTTTCAAGCACCTGAAAAAATAATAATACATTATAATACATTATACATAATAAAACATGATAATAATAATGTTTTGCTAGGTCAGCTTTAGTAGCTCACTAGTATATTACACACTGAAGACCAAATGGAAGGTGGATTGATTGTAACATTATAGCCCACCTGCACACACCAATGATGTCTCTCTCCTTCTATAGCACAAAAACTAAATGAAAATGAAACAAACAACCTCCCCCACAAACAATAAATGATTAGGTGATACTAATACAACTTCAATTCAACATGGAGGATTGAGGTGGACTGAACAAATGTGCTGTCATTTACAGGGCTTGTGAAAAAAAAACATATTAGTTAGACATTAAGTCAACGCATGACTTTTTTCCACTTGGGTGAAGAGCTGTGCAAACATTAATTCCCTCTCTAAAAAAATGTAATGGGTTCCACTCACTGATCAACAAATAATTGAAGCTAAGCGTTCCATGATTATCATTTGTATTTATATATTGTCTATTGATGATATTGGTCAAGTTAATTGGAAAAAATGGAATCTATGGTAAGTCCCTCAAAGATAAATGTTAGGATTAAGTCAACCACAGGAATTTTGGCTGCATCAACATATGGTCTTCATGAGACAGCAGATGTAAGCACCTCTGTAGGAAACACATGTATATTCCTTAAAGTTGAATGCATGAATAAATATTTGATATTTTTGATAATAAGTTATAATGCAGTGCATTATGTGCGTGTGTGTTGTGTTATTAGCACACAGAGTTGATTGTAACTCCTGACTTTTTGTAGCCTGCATCTTCAAAGCCCCTTGGTCTCAGTTTTAACCATGACGTCATCTCCCTAAATATAGCTTTGGACTGGTAGCTCGTGTTAAACAAGAGGAAAAGATTGTCAGTGGATATTTAGGAGCATGCTGTGATTTATCATACACAGGTGGGGTGACGTCAGGGCAGATACGCCCTCTCTTCAAACTCTGTTTCAAGTAAAACACACTGCGTGATATTTAAGATAGTATGCTATTAAAAGGTTCCACCAATGCTGTGATTTACAGCAGTAATTATTCATTCAGTATATTTAGAGCTGTAGCAGGTAAATAATCTAACGTCATGAGACATATACATCATTATGGACACTTATGATGAGATTATGGGTACATCCTCTAGGCAGAGCGTTACTGTGCTTTGAGCTGTAGTCAGTCTATTAGCAGTTTTAAATGTACGAGTTAAAACAGCCAAAAAAAAAGCATCTTATTTCACAACACACACATGACACCACATAGCATCAAAAGCTTGAACTGTAGCCACTGATATAAAATACACACCAAATAACCCCCTCAATTTGATAGTTGACCATTTTGCATCCCCACTTGAGTCACGGAGTGAGAAATATCATTATTCTGAGCTCAGTTTACAAGAAGGAAGCAACAATGTGACCATCACGTTTAAAGACACACAATGAAGTGACACAAGTCAGGGAGAATAATCTATCACCACAATGACATAAAACACCAGAACAACAGCAAATGATTTCAATGAAGCCCTAAATAGCCCATAAACATCACAGCTCTGTGCTGTGACATGATACAAACACAAGAAAAATTACACTTATTTTTTATCAAAAAGAAATTTCCCTTTTTCTTATAATTGATGTAAAAAATGACAACTGTGATGATTCTACATGGCCAGTTATTTTATGTACAGTTAAAGGACTACTTCCCCCAAAATTCAAATTAAGCATGTTTTCTCATGTATCTCTGGTAATTTGAGCATCCGTCTCTGAGATTTCTTCCACCAGCCCAAAACAATGGAGGTGAATGGAGTTTGGTTTGCAGTGCTTTCAACATTGGAAAAATGTATTTTGAAATTTAACAGCAATTTATCTTTCTTTGGATAATAAACAGACCTCACTGTCAACAGTTTCCATTGGAACTACTTTCTACTGAAGAAATAATCCCAGAGACAACTGTTGACAGCGTGTTTGGTGGATTATCCTGATAAATGAGGACTCACCACAAAATCCCATTCACCTCCATTGTGTTGGGGTATAGGCAAAAATATCAGAGATGGAAATTTCAAAACCTGGACAAATAAAACCAGAATATCCGCATGGCTACACTACAGGCCACCAGGTGTATGTAAGAAAATGATTATGTTTTACTAATTTAGGTGAATTGTCTCAAAATAACCCAAAATAAGTCACCCTGACTTTAGACTTGATCATTTTGAGAACACAAAAAAATGACCCAAACCTGCTGTCATAAGGTTCTATATTTACAGCAGGGTATGAATTGAAAATGCAAATTCACAGCATGTTACAAAAATAAATGTTGTACTATTTTTCACTGTACAATTTAAAAAAAAATCATGTTTTTTTTGTAGGATATCAACTGGTGTTTTCACTCACACATCACACACACACACACACACACACGTGCTAAAACATCTATAGCATCCATTTTGTTGCTGTTCCCGGGCAAAGTGATTGTCAAAGCCACTGTCCTTATCACTTCCTGTCTTAGAAGAGAGGGTTTAGGAGCACCTGAATGCACCATCAAATGCTTTGAAACAGGGATGCAAACTGGCTGCCATGACATGTCTCCAACTGCGTCTGGAGGGAGCAGGTCAGGACGAGCCTGGCGACCCCATCAGCCAACATCAACATGATCTTATTTGCCATAAATTTATATTTTATCTCACTCATGGATTTACAGTGGAAACTGATCATTACTGCAATAATAAAAACCCTAATGTAAAGAAACACTTTCTGTTTTATTACAATAGCCTACAGAACATTTTGGCCTGAATTATTTCTCCTCTGCTCGTGCTGGTAACTACAGCGTTATTACAAGGGCAAGTAACTCTAACGTAACGTCGATGTGTTGCCTGAACTGTCTACGATATGATGACTCACACTGAGAGGTGACATAGCAGGTATTTGGGGGGACGGAGTGGGGGAGAACGGGGACTCTACAGCTCCTGGTGCCAAAAACAAAGAGTAGCTATAAAGTGCATGTTACAGTCAGTCATACGTGCACGCCTGCTCAACAGACATTTATAGTAATCACTGGATAACTTAAAGGCCATCACATAGACTGAAATACAGCTCAATGACCCAGTAACAACAAAAGTTCAACTGCAACCAGATGGCTGATTTTAGACGTGACAACTATAATATTATAATATTGTTATAAAATATAATAACATATATAGGCTATTCATATGATCCATGATGGACGTATGTTGAAGATCCAGGACAACAGCAAAGCACGATTCAAAGTTCCGGATTATAACAAGCAAAATGTCGCCGGGGTCATCTTCTGTGTCACAACAAAACTACAACCCAATATTATACTGACATGAAAAGACTCTTAACTCACTAATACACACCACAAGACCTTCCAACAGATATTTCAGAGGAATATTACGCGGCCTGTTGTGTTTTTACCGAGCGTCTCAAACCATCATGAGAACATGAATCCTCTACGTTTAAGACAGACATTGAACATACAGCAGACAAAGCAGGTTTCTGGATAATTTAAAGGCCTGTGATAAGAAGACATAAAAGAAGAAGAGAAGATAATCCAGCGCCACAAGCCCCTGCGCAGACACAACTCCTGCTCGCATGCACCCAGCAGTCATTACGAGCCTTACGCAAAATGCAATTTAAAGGGTGATTTGGGTTTGACGTCATCCTCATCCTCTAACACATCTCAGGCCGTGCAATTACCTTTGTCGGGATGAGGAAGAGGGAGGAGGACGAGAAGGAGGAAGATCGGCCGGGCGCTCGGTCGGTGTCTCTCCTTCTGTCTGTGCACTCCTCAGTGAAAACATCCAAAACGTGGGTCCCCCCTTTTTCTCTGGCGCACAGCTGGGGGCTCCAACAGCATCAGCATCATCACCATCAGCAGCAGCAGCAGCAGGGGCGGTGGGGGGTCCACCCGGGCACACAAGTCACCTCGTTTCCATCTTGTATTTTGTAGTTGTCATTGTTCCCTCCTGCAAGACAGAAAGACAAGACACGCGTGGTGAGATTTAACCGTCTGTAAAGTTAGTCTGAGGACCTACACGGACAGGACAGAGGGTGTAAGAGGGGATTTGGGGAGAGGTGGGGGAACTTTACGACCTGCAGCCGGTGGTGATGAGACGGCGCCACACAGTCACAAACATAAACTGTTTACAACGCCAGATTGATACAAATCCATACATGGAAAAAAGTGTAATAATTACGTCACCCTTTAGAGATGCACAGGTAAGTTTACCTCCAGTTACATCCACACACACAACAACAGAGAACCGCGTCCTGCACACAGCTGTGGCTGACGCTGAGAAACTCATGGCAGCTCCACAGGTCAGAGGTCAAGCCGTTTACTTATTGAAAATAACGTCACTTGTGTCTAATTTTGTCGTTTCCGGGTGTGTTGATTTGCTTTGTCCATTAAAATCCATTGACGGCACGTGTGTCCTGCTCTAACACACGCCTCAGAGTTTGTAATGAAACCTGCACGATGGCGTTTTTTCTGGTGACCAGAGAGGAGCAGGGTCGTACACGCACCCGCAGCCTGCACGGGCCTCACCGGGTTCCAGGGCTTTGCTCATGGGCTGGGTTAAATGTCACTCTCGGAAATTACTGAGACACATGCTGGGATTTTCTTTAGCAACGTGTGTTCACCTTGCTCGCTTTTGTTTAACTCCCTAGTTTACTTTTGGGGTATCTCTACATCGTGGCCAGAACATACAGTGACCGGCCATCTAAACGCTTTAATGGTGACTGCAGTTACGTCACTTTCAGCTCTCTGACGTGCACTTTTTCCATCCTGACAAATATATTTTCTTGCCAGGCGTCAGGCCTGTAACTTGCAGGTCTTGCGGCGTAAAAGGAGGGGCTATCATTTCATGCTGGAGGTCATTAATGAGTGGACCTACGCTTCCTACACCTGGCTCCTTTTTTTGGCCTCATACTGCATATATACTCTGACATGAATTATGATTATTCACACTGATGCTTCCTGAAACTGTGTTGGGACAGCAGAGAACAAACTGAGAATAAAGTTGCATGTGTTTTTCTTCTCGAGGCTAAATTGAATTGCATCCTCTTTGCCTCTTTTTACTCTGTCTTTTAAGACAGGCAGTGCTCTTCTCCCGGTTTTGTTTTCATCTGTATGATCACTTTGCGTGCACACGTCACGCCTCATTCACATATACAGCTCTGGAAGCCAGAGTTTTGCTGCGCTGCAGAACTTGTGAGTATATTGATTGAGTCGTTAAGCTGCAAAAATTTGGGTTTGATCTTTTTTTTTTCCTTCTCCTGTTTTGTTTTGAATGTGGTGGGTCAGGCTGAAAGGACGTGGTCGTGTCCGGTTCTCTGTGTGCTCTTTGCGGGGAACGTTGACAGGGAACAGTGGTGGGCGATGCTTGAGGTGGATTAACTACTACTCACAAAACTGGGAGGGAGACACGTGTGCGTTTCCAGTGTGCTTGTGTTAAAAGGGAGGGTGCGTGGATGTTCGCACGAAGGCCACACACGCACACACACACACAGAGTCACTACTCGGTCAGTGTATGAGGCAGCGATTGCAGCTGTTCCTCATCCCTCTCCATCTGCCAATCTGGGCTTCTCCCTATGTTAGGATGGGCTTGTTGGGGAATCCCTTGCATATGCACTTTGGGGTGTGTGTGTGTGTGTGTGTGTGTGTGTGTGTATCTAACATTCATTTACACGGGGTTAGGGGTTCACTGACGTCCAAGAAAAGTGGCACCCCCCCCCTCCAAAACACACACACACACATACACACACACACACCCACACACACACACACCCACACACACACACACCCACACACACACACACCCACACACACACACACCCACACACACACACACCCACACACACACACACCCACACACACACACACACACACACACACACACCACCCTCCACTGGTTTGCCCACGTGCAACTTGTTCATTGCAAGGGTCTCCCCGTGTTTACACTCTGCTCTGCTAGGGGCCACTGTCTCTTGTTCAGTGTGGGACGGGGGGCTGGAGGGGCGGGGGCCGGGGGTGTGTGTGTTTGGCTAAAATTATGACTTAATCTTGCATGGCTCAAAGTTTTGGGTCTGACGACATGTTTGTTGACAGAAATACCAAAATAATCTTTTTTTCAGGACACTGAAGCTCGCAAGAGTTTGAGCAAAACTTGGGTGCGACGTGGCTGCAGAGCTTCGCCACAATTTCTAACAAAGAAGAAAACTGTTGACTAGAAAAAAAAATGACACACGTAAGGGCTGAAAAGAAACCATGACAAAAACGCCCCTGCTATAGCAATGGCGAAAATAACAAGAGTAAATAATGACAACAACATAGCAAAAAGCAAATTCGAGCAGAAAAAGGAACAAGCCCTTAAAAAAATAAAGATTGTAAAATTCCACGAGTGGAGCCTCTTCCGATGTCGATGTGTCGGCGCGGCGATTGCGCCCTCCGCAAATGCTTTTTGGGGTAAGGGCTTCCCAGATTAATAGTTATGAACAGCAAGCCCAGACCGCAAAAAGATTCGTGAAGGACATTATCATCATCTGCTGCCGCTGCCGCTGATGCCGCCGTCCGACGGAGACTCCGTGACACGGGGAGCCTGCTCTCTTTTCGCTTCCGTGAATTTATCTCCCATCCCGGCTCGGTTGATTGTATCTCCAGCCATCGGCAACCCGAGGCGAGTGAGTCCCTCCAACATACACACAGACACACTAACACACACGCGCGCTAGGAGGAGGAGAGGATGGACGGAGGATGGAGAGGAAGAGACAGAGAGAAAGAAGGAGAGGGGGGGGGGGGTCTCCGGATGCCAAGGCTGCTGCTGCAACTGAGAGCTGTCCAAGGTCCTTTCGCTTTGATTCCCCACTCCTTCTCCAGTTTGAATTCTCCTCTATCTCCCCTCTCGTCTCTCCTCCCTCATCCATTCGTTTCTCATATCCCCCTTCCCCTCTCTCTCTCTCTCTCTTTCTCTCTCCCTCTCTGTCTTTATCTCATATTTTCCTCTCCTTGCTTTTCTTTCTTTTCTTTTTTTTTTTATCCAAACGCTCGGATGTGCAAAGCCCGTGTGATCATTGGGAGCTGTGCATCGATGCGTTTTGTTGTCAGTGTGCGCTCTCTCTCTGTATTATATTCCCTGGTCCGTGGTGTGTCTCCCTATAGTGAAGCGCTGGCTCTCTGCAGCCGCTCCAGAGCTCTGGGTGAGGAGGGAGCAAGGCTGTAAACTGCTGGCAATAAATAGAGAGCAGGGAGGGATCTTATTGGAGCAAACCAAACCTCGTCATCAACCAATCGGTGTCTCGCTCATATAGGGACCCCCCTTTTTGAAAAAAATAGACAGGGCTAACCAAATTGTGATCTATACCAGAGAGAGTGTATACTTATATGCACTCATATAGGGATATGAGCATTTTGATGCGGCTATTTTTTAATGAACATTTTCTTTTATTTTTTTGCGTTAGCAGGGCGTCTCGCGAGGCTGCGAAACCAACCGTCGCTCTGAATGGTTCATATCGTGATAAACAAAACTAAATTATGATGACAATAATAATAAACAAGAAATGTGACAGCGAGGATGAGCAGTTTTCACCTCATCACAAATACCCCCCCCCCCCCCCCCCCCCTTCCCTTTCTTACACAAGCCAGCTACAAGCGACATCAAATAATGGCAAATGCAAACACAGCGAGCAGAAATATAATAACAAAAAAATAACAAGTGCATGTCGACAAAGTGTGGGGAGCCTCGCGCAGCCCCTCCAAGTCGCATCACAACATAGCAAGAAGCATCTGAGGCGACTCATGGTCACCTATACAGTTCACCGGAGGGTACCATTGCGAAAACGACACGGGGGTCTCCGGACTGGAATCTCAGTCCGGAGCCGATGTTTCAGTCATTTCAAGCGGGTGTTTTTAAGGTTTGAACCACAGCAGCATGACTATTATATCACCGCTACTACTACATACTGCAACAGTTTACAGCTTATACAGCGGCAGTGTACAACTTAACAAAACAACAACACAGTGCTGAGCATCACATTAAGAGTTAAAGAGTTCATCACGACCGTAAACCACTCATTCTCACACACTCTGAGTTCAAACCATCTTTAATGTGTTTTCTTTTTTCGTCAAAATTTAGCAACGAGATAGTTAAATAGAGAGGAAAAAAACTTACCTGTTTTTTATTTTTCCTGCAACAGTTCCGTTAGTTTTTCAGAAGCCATTGCAACATCTCACCCCTATAAACAACCCTCAACTTCCCCCTCTGGAGCTGCAAGTTACTGTATACCGAGGTGGAGGCCGGGTCACGATCTGAATCCGGACCCCCCTCTCTCTCTGCCCCCCCCCTTCTTGTTTGTACCAGGCTTGACTTCAAACCAACATACCCCCCTACCCCTCTACCCCCCCCCTTCTCCCCTCCTCCTCTTCCTCCCCTTCCTCTCTCTCTCTCCATCAACACCGCCCCACTATCACTGATGAAACTCGTCTGCATTCAAGTTGGCTGCCAGCAAGCAGCAGGGCTCACACTAAAAACAAGCTTTGGGGAGAAAGGAGATATTTGGGATTGAAGGGGGGAGTGAGGGAGGGAGGGGGGTGTTAGGGAAATGGTTAGTGCAAACCCAGAGTCTTAAGCACACCCCAGACCTCAGACCCCCCTCCCCACCCCCCCACCCCGGTGTGGGTATTTTTTTTTTTTGGGTGGTCTTTTCATTTGCAACCCAGTCAGTCACGATTCTCCCCCACCGTCTGCACTGCACAGTGACTGCCTCTCCTGACGCAGCCAACGCGCACATTACTCACTTTAGCAGTCACGACTCGGGAATCCGTGTTGTTTCCACCGAAATTACACGCTCGGTATTGAATTATTGAGCAAGATCTCGCCCCTCGAGTCGCTATTTACGCGTTTTGACCGACGAAGAATTACAGAGTTGCTATTTTTTGGTGTTTGGGGGAGGTGAAGGAATGTAGCCTATCGCAGGTGAAGTGCAATCGGGATTTTTCATGACAAAGACAGGTGGTCGATGTGTGTGTTTTTTTTTCTTTCCATCTGTGGCACGGTAGCCTCGTAGCCTGCATGCAAAAATACTGGGAAGAATTGGCCAAAGTCGTGCACAGACTGGGACTAACAAGGGCCGGTTGGCGGCGGGCGGGAATGGGGTTGGGGGGGTCGATTGCGGGTCCTGTGTCCCAGTCGGGCTGCAGAACTGTGCAGACGCCTGTAGCCTATTCATCATCTTCCCGGTCCGGGTCGCTAATTCAGCACTGATAGGCTACCTTAATTGAAAGGGTGATTCCTTCAAACTCTTTCTGGGAGACAATAGCGACGCTCCACTTCGCCTCTTGAGCGCCCTCCTGGTCGCGAGGACGCAAAGTTATTGTGAACAGAGCTCTTGAACCGAAAAAGACACTGAAGTCACACGCGTCTTGCTGAATTCAAACACTGAAAATCTCAACTATTTTTGCTACTTTTTTCCAAACATTTCCTAAACATACAACGAACTTGACACCTTCTTCTATTCATTTTTAACGCGATTACAAAGTAGCTTCACTTCACAAAAAAAAAAAAAAAAAAAAGGATTTGTAAGGCACGGTTGACAGGCACGGGAGGAAAGTTGGTCAGGCACGGGAGGAAATGACGGGACTGACGTGAGCAGAAGAAAAGCTGATCCAAGTCGGTCCGGCTGCTCTCTCTCTCTCTCTCTCTCTCTTTCTCTCTCTCTCTCTCTCTCTCTCTCTCTCTCTGTCTGGCTGCCTATGGCATCCGAAGAGGCCGTTCAAACTGTACGGGCGGGAAAAGCTCTGTTATAACATCTTTTCGAGCCAAATGTCTCCCCTCAGGAATTTTAAGGAGGGGGGGGGGCTTAGTATTTATCCTCCAACGTCGCTTCAGGAAAGAGGATTCACTCAGAATAGATGCTGCTGGTTTTCAAACAGGAGTAAATAAAGCTTTTGGCTGCCAGGAACAACACCAGCCACCACCACCCCCACCACCCCACACACATGCACATGAACAAACACACCACCGCCAGTAACAGCCCACTACCGCCACTTGGTGTGGTTTCAGCACCATTGCTGCTGGACAGCTCCCGGGTTTCCCCATGCGGTGCGCCTGGTCTCTGCTGCAGCAACAGCTCCTCACTTCACTCCTCTCTTCCTCCTCCACCGCCGCTTCTCTGCCAGTACGACTCCTCTTAAAAGCAAGAAAAAACGGAGGGAAAGGCGTCCTTAAGCGCTCATCAGAGAAGGGTTCCCCTCGCTTTCGCGGTTAAGCAGTGAGATGGGAGGGAAAAAAATAAATATGTGATAGAGACTCAACAGCGCCAACAGACAAAGGGAGTTTTTGCACTTGCTTATTTACCAAAAAGGGTGATTCCTACTCTGCAGGAAGGGTTGCTCTATGCTTCGGTTCTACAGTTAAACATGGCTCGTAAAGCATGCCAATTAAATCCATGCCTGGGACCGGGAGTCAAGTGTTTTTTGTTTTTTTGCGTGCATGAGACAGAGGAGGAGGCAAAAAATGGGGAGAAAAGAAACAGCACAGGCACTCAGGAGCATGCACTACTGAAAAGACACAAAAGTACACAGAATTAAACGTTGCATGTGCAAATGTCTCACTCACCATGGTGCAGGCACGTCCCGGTCCTAAACTGGAGGAAGAGAAACACAGAGAGAAAGATTGAGATTTTAGGGCAAAGCCGCAACAAGAGTGTGGAAGAAATGCAACAGATTAAGTCCTCCATTTGTTATTATGTAGGCTTACAGTGGCACGTCCAAGTTTGCTCAGGATCGCCTCCCTTTTTATACAAGTGATACCCGTCTGTCTATTTCTGGCGCACGATCAAAACTATGTTGCTATTTTTAGGTCACAGTACGAGGAAGGAGAAAAAAAACACTCACAAAAGGCATCGCTTAGAAACGTTACGTGAAGTGCATGTAATGTAAATTAATTTTGCCTCTCCAACTCTGCACAAGAGCCCCGATTCCCCTCCGTTGCATCATTGCAGTGATTTTTTTTTTTTTTTTGGAACCCAGTGTGCCTTCAACAGCACCACCACCACCTCCTTCGCATCCGTAAACCTCACTACTTTCCTCCCCTCTACAACTAAAAATCTGGAACTCGTCGTCGCTGCCAATATCATCGACATATCTGATGTCTTGTCGCCCTCTTCAGAAGCTTCTCGTCCCAGTGTCACTTCAGCAGCTCAAACTCATGAACGTAAAAAATAGGTCCAAATACTGATGAACGCGGATTACCCGACGCTTCTTGTGGGATTTTCTCTTTTCTTTTCAGTCGACGAAACACTGTTAAATTGGAGTAATCAAGCTTTGCTGACGAGAAGAAGAAAAAATAATAAATAAAAAGCCATTTTTGTTGAAGGGCTGCGTCAGTTACTAGGCATTGACGTCACGTTTAGATTCTCTCACTTTACAGCCCGTAGAGCCTGATTAAAGACACTACCGCTCTGTGATCAGCTCTTGGCAAATGTGCCACGGAAAAAATGAGTGCCAGAATAGGAAAATATTACAGGTGGATATTTGTGGTGTGCAGTCGTGGAAACTGTAGCTTTGGAGTAGGTTATCTCCTGTTAGAAACCCTCCTCTAATGCTCTAGCATCTGGGTTTCCATCCAACCCCCCCCCGCCCCCCCCCCCCTCCTTCTCGCTCCCTTGTCTCTATATATCCCCCCGCCAAGCGTTGGTGCTGTTTTGGTCTTGGAGAATTTTTATCCCAGCATACAGTGCATGTGGCGGACAAAACACTGCATCTTTAAGCAGATAAGGCAGAGGAAAACACGGCGAACTAAGCCGCTGCCTCCTCCATCCATCTCATATATTCACTGGCCGTGCCCACGCACCAGACCCCGCTCATCCGCGGAATAGACCCACGGGGAGCGCACACTTGTCCGTGTAAAGGCGCACAAACAAACCCCCACCCCCACCCCCCACATACCCCGCCACCCCCCCACAGCAGCCTTCTGTCTCTCACCTCCCCTTCAATATCTATAACACCTTTACTGTAAGACCCTCTCCACACACCCCACGCCGTCCATCTGCACTCATGCTGCGTGGAGATTCACGAGACTTTACGGGATGGGATGGAGTGCGCTAAGGTTTATGGTGTAGGGGTGGGGGTGGGGGGTGGGGGGGTAGAGATGGAGGTGGTGAGGCTGCACTGAGTGGAAGCTACCTAGAAAAGTCGGCTCTGAGAAGGGAAAAGGGCTGCGCCCGACGCATCGGTTTGTGCTATTTTTATCCCTGCCTGTAGGCCAACTGTATGTCCGTGACTGCTGGCGAGTGCATGTATAGGGACACACAGAGAGCGGATTTAGCATGTCCTCTACCCTAAGATCACCAGCATAACAAATCAATGATAAGAAGAAAAAGAGGAAGAAGAAGCACACGGTGAGATTTATGCTCTGGATATTTTGGCATCAGTCTGGCTCTGTTTTTTTTTTCCCAAGCCATCAAGTCAGTCAAGCCAAAGTACGAAAAGATAAGACAATAGTCAAATATCCCATCTACCCCACACACAAACAACCACTAGCCACCCCCCCCCCCCCACACACACACACACACACACACACACAAACACACAGACACACATGTACACACTCACAGTTCCCTGTAGTCCACAATCATTCAATCAAAGAGGGAGCAGTATCAATGGGAGTTGCAACCGAGGTTCCTCAGTGCAGTGCGCCAACATGAGCGCGTGGTGTCGACAAACTCAGCCACAGATCCCCCCTTATTCTACCCCCAACCTCCCACCTCCCACCCCACCCCACCCCACCCCTCTCCCCTCCTCCCCCCTCCTTAAAAAAAGTATGCACTCCTGACTCCAGCAAGTTGCAGACCGCAGCAGAGTTCTCCTCTTTTTCCTCTCATTTGTGAAGCTTTTGTCACCTCAGAACGAGAGAGGACGAAATACTCCGCAGCTCTCACTGTCACAACTGATTCACTACAGGAGATGCGCTTATACCGCACTTTTACCGCAATCGCAGTTTGCAAACCAAGTCGCTTTGCCGCAATGAGTTAAATCCGGAAATGGACATCTGTAACCACCTCCTCTAAAAACTCTCCATTGTTATTGTCACGATGTACCATCTTGTGAAACTAATGCAACTCTGGAGAAAAATACCTGTTTTGCCACTTTATTGGTGGTGGTTAACATTATTCACCTCCCGCTGAAATTTCTGCTGAATCGACCACAGGATGAGCGAGGCGCTGTCCGTGGTGCTGAACCGCTCAGCCTGTCGTGTCCACCTCCCTAACCTCCCAGAGCATGCAGGGTAATTTACACAACACACTGCACACACAGTTGATGTTGATGCTAAACCTTATGTTGCTTCGGCGCCAAGTTGAAGAGAGCATGCATGCGAGATTTACAGATGCAGTTGTAGCCTATTGCTGCCGTGTAAAAGGAACAGGACAACATGTAACTCTGAGGTGGCGGGCAACACGTGTGGACTGACGCAGGTCCGCTGCGGAAAGTTGTTTACAAGTGGAGAACTGAAGGAGTCTTAGCTCTAATCTGAGCTTTGACTCTGACAAATATACATGAATGAGGGACTGTCTCGCTCTCTCGCTCTCTCGCTCTCTCGCTCTCTCCTTTTCTCCCTCTCCCGACTCACATTTGCTTTACTGGCACACAGGGTTGCCCAAACAGTAAAATATATCATGTGACAGATGTTAGAAACATAAGAAACAGGGTCAGCAAATTTTGATTTTCCCAAACTCCCCCCCCCCTCAGTTGTTACTAGGCATCTGAGCAGAGCAGGCAGCCTAAAGCAGAGGATCCCCAACACGTGAATACTCCTACGCATTACCGCAGCCCGCTCTCTTTGAGTGTCTGCAAAATCCCCTCCGATGTCAATATGCATACACACACACAGAGAGAGAGAGAGAGAGAGAGAGAGAGAGAGAGAGACCCAAAAGAGAAAAACCCTTACTGAATACAGTTCCACTGCTGCTGTGTTTATAGCCTCGTCTGATCTTTCCCGGTGATAGCAACGCTCGCAAACACCGGCATGCCCCGCGATGAACCTAAATAAAGTCGCTCTGGGAGGCTCATGTGCAGCAAATGAGAAACAGTGTTAATTATGAGCTTCAGATAGAAGTCTCTGTGGGGCAAAACACCCGCGATGTTAAGCAAAAAAATGTTCGCAGAAGCGCCACATGTATGGTTTCCCCTTTAATGACCGACATCCTCAGATAATTTAGATCATTGTGTCAAAAAGATGGATTCAGACTAGAAACGGCGGGTAACATGACTTTTCCCCGCCACTACATTCCTACTCAGGAGAGTGCTATTACCCCCAGATCAAGCGGTAATCTCCCAGTCCCAAAAATATCTAGGCTAGGCATGGTCTAACTGAAACTGGTCAAACTTCCCTGACTAGTACATCACATTCTGGGTCGGGATTCGCGCCATCTACAAAAGAAAGCACTTACCTTTTCGGTTTTTCATTTCTCTCTCTCTCTCTTTTTAAACTCTTTTTTAAAAGAAGGGCTTTGTGCAGGCTGAGACAGACAGAGGAGACAGAGGGAGAGTGAAAGCAGGGCAGCCTACAGTCTCTCCTCATGCGTCAGGATGGAGAAAGCAGGTCAGTCCGATGTGCGTCGTCTCCCAGTTCGGTCGGAGACTAAAATATTTGGTGTTGCCATTCAGGATTTAGGGCGCTAGCTCAAATAAAAGGTGGGTTGGCTGGGTGGTGGTGGTGGTGTTGGGAGGGGTGAAGGGTTTGGGAGTGGAAAGGTGGCGGTGGTGGTGGCTGGAGAGGAGGAGGGGGGAAGAGTACACAGAGTTACAAATGTGAGCCAGCTGATAGAAAGAGCCCGCCAAATCAGGGGGACTTTACGCATTTGGGGAGGCGCGCCGCACGATTCACCTCACTGCATTGACTCTCTCTCTGTCTCTCCCTCTCGCTCGCTCTCTCTCTCTCTCTCTCTCTCTCTCTCTCTCTCTCTCTGTGCGCGTGTGTGTCTATGTGCCTATGTGTGTGTACGTGTGTGTCTGTGTGAATGACTCCCAGACAGAGACGGAAAGCATGAATGGGGAAGGAGAAGCGTCCGCGCTATTATCGGCGCAAACCCGCCGGGAAACGAATAAATCGGGCGCAATTAAAAAGGAACTAGGAGTGAGGTGAAGCAAATGCAGCTCGCGGGGAGGGACAGGGAATTCATTGTATATGTATGTATAAAAGAAAAGAACGAAATCTCCGGGTATGGAGATGCATTCATGTCACAGCACAGGGAATGGCTTTGGAAAAGTGTCTGGACGACGAGACCTGCAACCACCTCTCTCTCTCTCTCTCTCTCTCTCTCTCTCTCTCTCTCTCTCCATCTCTATGTGTTTGTCTCTCTATCTGTCTCTCTTCCCCTGGTCCTCTTCTCCAGCAGTGTGCTATTGACCTGCATTGACGTCATTGCGTCATTAGGTATCCCTTAGAAACACTGACTTTCAAAAATAGTATCAAATTAATTCAGCTGGCAAGGAGAGAGGGGTGGGGCTTAAGTGTTTGGGGTTGGGGCGTTTGGGGTGAAGGGGTGTGTGTGTTGGTAGATATGGGTGAGGATGGAGAGGGATAGCATGTTTTACCCCGCCACCCCCCCACCCCAACAACCCCCTCACATCCCTCCG